CTCATAACTCTTTGCACTACTTTCGGGGCGCTTTCACACAGTTTATTTGGCGAATGGCGACGACGAGGGAAGCCTCTCGGTCTCTCCTACCCTCAACTTGTCCGATTTTCTTGCAGAAAGGAGCTCACCGATGTGTGTGTGCGTGTGTGTGTGTTCGTGTGCTTGAGCTTTCGGAAAATGTAGCCGAGAGTGCGAATGATAGAGAATGACGATTCGGATTTATTTTATTCTCTAGAAATACATAAACAAACTTAGTAGTAAGTCGTGTAATTCGATATGCAAATAATGACCCAAACAGAGGCTCAAAAAGAAAAGGAAAAGCGTGACGCTTGCTGGAAGCTGTTCTCAAAGGGACGTTCCTCTTTTGCTGCGCGACAAAACCAATTTGTGCTCGCGAGGCTGTCGCGGCGTTTCCGCGCGCGTCCTTGGAAATGCTAAAGAGGCAAAACGCATATACATGAAGCGACGCGACCTCCCTTACGCCGTAAGTTTATTCGACTGCCGTGGGCACAATTTCGAGTGCGCCGGACCCCCCTGCACCGCCAATTTTAACGGGCATTACATAAAAAACAATTCTTTTACGTGTGACTGTTGCCCGGAGTACGTGTAATGTCGTCTTTACGAATGGCATATTACAGCTGAAAGCTCGCGACTACGCGCAACTTTTGCTTCCACCCGCGGGGAAAAAAATACACTTGACTCTCCTTCAAAAGCCAATAATCCGCAAAAAACACGTCTCTCTCTGATAAAACCGTAATCAAACGCGTGTAAAAGAGCGCAATCTCGGTGGGAGGGTGGGGGGGGGGGGGGGGGGGGGGGTTGCAGCTTGGAAATTTCGGCGGTGCACGCGGCAGTCGATTGCTTCCAATCGAGTTTTATGCACACAGTTTATTTTACCGGCGCGTCGATGCAAACATTCCATCTTTTTCATCGGCGCGACCGAGGCGACTACGATTGATTGATTGATTCGAAATTTCGCCGTTCACGATTCCCGCGCTTCGTTCGTTCGTTCGTCCGTTCCTTTTTCTTTGGCTTTTCTCTTCATCTATGAAAAGGTAGTCGGGCATTTTTCAGAGCGCGCGTCGGTACATTTCGCGCGCAGAGCACTTTTCTAAGGTATCGGCGCTAACTCCCTCAATCTCGTTACATGTGCTTTACGCGCCTCGCAGAACGTCAATTTCTTTTTTAAGAATAATCGCCTAGCAAACTGTCGCGCGTTAAATTTAAAATTGAATTTCACCGACTCTTCCTTTTTTTTGCATACATTACTTCTTGATTTATATGCAAATCGCGCGTCTAATCTATCTTGAAGAAAAAAAACGAACTAACCGCAATTTAAACTAAAAAGAAGAAAAAGAGACGGAGAGCGTCAGAAGAAGTGCGGAAGAACTTTGGAAGCCTATTATACATCCTAATGGGCGTTGGCACGGGATAAAAATAAAATGCGCGGCCTCAGGGGTTCCAACTGTGTGTGGAGCGTGTCGAAGAAAAAAAAATTTTTTTACTCGTTGCAAAACTTGACCTACTCCGCTCACACTGACACGTCAAGATGGCAAAAGCATTGTGCACAATACCACGAGAGCCTTCCGCTGTTCTAAAAAAAATAGAAAGACAGTGTCTCTCATTGTATAGTTAATACTTTTTTTCGTTAATTTTTTTTCAACTTTTGTTTTTGACCATTTATTACTCGCTTCAAAAATTACGCGGTTTTGAAAGACTCGTTGAGAACGAATTGATGCATTATTAAGAAGAAATTGAATACACATTTAACGAACAGAGAAAATTGGCAGTAAAAATATTGTCGAATAGTATCAATAACTTACCAAAAATAATTTCGGTAAAAAAAATGTATGTAAATACAATTTCAACTAGATGACAATTAATCAGCATCGTAAATATTCCAGAGACAAGGACTTTAGATTTCGAACCCGACAAAGCCTGCAGTTGCGTAGAGCAAAATGTCAACGTTGTCGAACGAAAGATTCCTTCTCGAAGTACAATTTCAGCAGCGCCAAATTAATGTGGATATAATGTACAATGTAAAGCAAAGTAAAAAGCGAAGAAGCGTCTTTGTCGCGAAGAATTTCAATGAACGGAGCAAGAGGCGTAGCAGAAACCAAACGATCGCCAAAGCGGATTGACTCATTAAGGTAAGGGAGAGAGAAACAGAGGGATCATTTAGCCCGAAGGCAGACGTTTTAATTGTGTCGCTCTCTCGCGCCTCAGCGAAGATCGAATGTCAGAGCACGTAGTAGCACCGAGGCTACTGTCGAGTAGTACGAGCGACACGAGACTCGAGAGACAATGAAGCCCTCTTGTAAGGCTTGCAGCACACCAAAGAGTTACACTAGACTCGCGTATCGTGTAGTTTTTTTTCCTGAAACCAAACTTTTTTCAGAAATGCTTTTTGTGTTCAATAAATCTGTCGATGGTAAATAAAAAATTTATTTTCAATTTTCGACGAAATCAAAAGCTCTTGTAAGCGAATCGTAGCGGCATTCGTGGTGGTCAATGTAGTCAGTGATCGTTTTAAAATATAATTGCGCGATTGACAAGCTAAAACCTCAAACGTATTGAAATGGCGTGTTCGGAATCGACTTGCAACTTTTAAAACTCTACTTTAAAATTTAACAAAGAAATTAATATATTTTGTAATTTGGAAATTCAAATGTCAATATCCTGTTGCCGTAAAAATATGATTCAAATACGAAATACTGGAAATTCATTTGCAAGTAAATTAAAAGCCGCGAGTTAGAAGCTGGAAAACTCTTGAAAAGACGCTATTAATTTCAATCAAAAATTCATCCTCAATTACTCGAGCAGCTCGGCCGTACCTACTAAAACGAATCAAATTAAAACTTGCAACCGAGCGAAAATTTCACGAGTCCGAAAATTTTTCGTCAAAAGATGAGGCCCTCGTCGTTTTAATTGCGACTGAGTAAAAAAAAATTGCGGTTAAAAGACAGACACGAGTAATGGCTGTTTAATAGTAGTTGACGGACAGCGGCGAAAAGAAAGGAATTTATCGGAGTGAAACAATTAGTGAGAACGAAAGAAATAATGAGCGACGAGATTGTGCCCTGCAATTTTTCCTTTTCTTTCTCGCCAATCGACAGACATCTATATCCGAACGATAGTTTTAGCTTTGTTCGTGTGAAACTGCGCCAACGACAATAACAACAACACCGTAAAACTAAAAATTTCACCTATGCGAAGTAAAAAAAAAAAAGCCTTTCACCTTACTCCCGAAAAAAAATCGTCATCTCATCTCTATCCTCCCTCGTCGGCGCTTTGTTTTTCCCCGTCGGCGGCGGCGGTGCCTATCCTTTTTTTTTCGTCTTTGCCTCACGTATCGACGCACTCCTCCTCCCCTTAAAGCTTGGCTGCACTTAGCTCTCTCACACTCGGTGGTTTCTCATTTCGTCTCACGAACGTGATGACTCTTTTACCAGCGAGACTTGCATGGGAGCACTTTGGGATGAGCTATTGTTACCTCGTAAGAAATTTGCCTTTTGCCATATACGCGCGACTATTTCAACAGTCGCAATCGTAAATTACAATTCTCAAGTGAATCCATGCGATAAGACGTGAATTCTGTGCGTAATAACGAAATCACACGCGTCGAAGCATAAGGGAGCTTTTCTTCAAACTGAAGTTCGAGCTGAAAAGTAAAAATCTACCTTTCTTCTTGAAACTTGCATCCGACGCTTCACGCCCGAAACAAAAACAAATCCCACCTCTCTGCCACCAAGTCAGCAATCAAACGTGCCCGCCACAAAAAAAAACGCACGCACGGCTGTTTGATTTTGAAAAAAAACGCAAGAGAAGCGACGTACGAGGAGAGATAGCGTATTCGAAAGAGGGAGGGTTTGGATTTTAACCCGTCGACGCTCGAGACACATGGGGAGAGGCTCTCGACGTCCCCTGCGACGTTGCAGCTCGAGAGGGGGGGGGGGGGGGCAGGTGTGCACAGCGAGAGGCGCCACGCGCAAAATCAAGGTAATCGCTGGAGTACCCGGCTTCGTTGTCGAGGATGCGACACGAGGATGTTCTTAATTAACCTTTGTGTAAGCGTATTTTTCTTTTGTCTTTTTTTAGTTTTCTTACGAAAAAATCACGCTATAGTGAAGAAATCGAATTTATCTGGAGAAAACGAAATCCGCAGTAAATTTTGTTACATGATCAAACAGCATCTAAAAATCGGATTCTCTACGCCATAAACCAAGGAAAAAATAAGCCAAAGCTTATGGTTCAATTCAGGAGCGATAAAAAAACATCGGCGGTATTTCTTCCTTCCTAGAGAAGGAAAATAATTCCAAAAAGGATACAGAAACTCCCCCTGTATACGTGTCTCGCTTTGGAATAAATCAAAGCTTTTCCCTCCTTGTCAATACACTTCACGAAAAGAAAGTTTTATTCGCCTTGAGAACGAGAAAACTCGCGTTTAATGTTTTTCGAAGAGAAAAGAAGCTACATTCTAGAAAATGGGATTGAAGCTTTTTTTTCTTCTTTCCTAACTGTGTGAAATGGGTCGTTAACACTCTCGTTTGCTTTCTCGCACACGATGCCTTCTACCACCAAAGCCATTTGCCTCCTTTTTCGCGGACGGCGGAGTCTGAAAAATAAAATTCCGCGAAGAAAGTAGGAAGCTATCGTCTAACGATAATGGGAAGGCTGAGCAAACGGCGCGAGCTTCGGCGAACGCAAACAAAACGGAGCCTCGACACAATTGCGCCGACGGATAATTCCTCGCGGATATGTTCGCTAAGCCGCGAGCCCCGTCGGCAATAGTCGCAAGTGTTTTCCAAAGTTCGTCAAGCGTGCAGCTTTTCGCTATACGTATACAGGTTCGCAAAGCGCCCCACCCCAAGAATCAACGGAGCGTTGCGTGATCAGCTTAATACAGGTAAACACGAGCGTCAACGACGACGATCCAACTTCTCCGGCGTGAAACAACGACGATTTAATGATCTCGAAGCAGCGCAGAAAGACGCGCTTACCTTTCAGATGTTCCGGCGTGTCGGCGGCTCCAGCTCGCATGATGTCACTCAGGTAGTGCTCCAGCGTGCGCATGTTATCCAGCGGTGAGTTTCCATTCGCAGTCATGCGATCCTGCGAACAAAGTACCTCACTTTAGATCTTTTCTTTTCTCTTCTATTTTATTTCTTTTTTTGCGTGTGTCTGGAAAAGAGGCAGGACTCTCTCTCTCTCTCTCTCTCTCTCTCTCTCTCTCTCTCTCTCTCTCTCTCTCTCTCCTCTCTCTCTCTCTCTCTCTCTCTCTCTCTCTCTCTCTCTCTCTCTCTCTCTCTCTCTCTCTCTCTCTCTCTCTCTCTCTCTCTCTCTCTCTCTCTCTCTCTCTAGAGTGCACTCAAGAGGATTTCGACGACAAGGCTGCGCACGTTTTCGAGGTAAATGGTTCGTACGCGTACGATCGTCGTTTTGAATTATTCGCGCAGCCAGACTCGCAAAAACCTCTCGTTATCATTGCCGTTCGCATAAAAAAGAGAGAGGGTAAGAAAAAAGCCAACTGTCATTGACCGCCGCTGAAAAACGCAGAAGCTTGCCCTACCCGCGCCAGTGTTGGGGTTTTTCACCGGACTCTGGCGAGTCTATTGTCCTTAATCGAAATGACCCGTCTTTGGAGGTGAGACTCGCCCAAGGAGAGATAGAGCGGCAGAGAAAGAAAAACTGAAAAGCCCCTGCGAGGGGCAACCGAATTATTCACGAAGGATGAAATGCGCCCGCGGATGAGAGAGCGAGAGAGAAGGTGATTAACCCTTGAGAGCCTCGACGCACTCGGATTATTTTCTTTTTAGATTGCAAGCGCCTTTTTTCTCTTTTTAGTTCATTCATTCAGATGGGGGTACTAGCTATTGGCAATCAAAATTGCAGACTTCGATTGCTCCATAAGCGTCGATAATAAGTTTTAAGCATCACAAAGCTCGACATTCGGAATGAGAATGAAGCGCTTGTCCTTTCCGAACTGGATTCAGTCGTCACTCGTGTCCTGTCGGCTCCTCGGCGGGATGAGATTTCGAAAATGCGCTTTTCCCCTGTGAAGTCCATAGTCTTTCGACGAGCCACGACTGAAGTCGCTGATTAAAGAATCCTCGAAGCTTTTCGTCCGGGAGAAAGAAGAGAAGGCAAGGAGCGCGTCCACGGTTCGAAAAAAACTCTCTGCCGCGTCTGAGGTGTCTCTTTGACTTGAGACGGCGGCGGCGGCTGCGACGACGACGGACACGGGGACGGGACGAAAAGGCGGAAAGAACGAGACACAGGAAAAGACTTGGCTCGGTAATAGACCACTTGCCCCCCCGTTAATGCTAGCAAGGCAAAAGCCAAAGATTTCAAAAGTCGCGCGGGGAGAAGAAAGTTTGAGCCATTATCAAAGACAGAAGGCTTTCTTTCGAGTTTCAACCGACAGCGAGGCGATTAGACGTAACGAACGATTTCGGGTCGATCGAGTGGCTATCGATGGTAATTTTGCGGCGAAACGAGATGGTCAATGCTCCGTTCCTTTATGCGAGGGTTCATTAAGTTTTCAAGCTGATTGAAAATCTATACAGGTATGTTTCTTTCGCGGCGGAGTACATTCATGTAAAAAAAAAAAAAAACAACGAATGAACTACTTTTAAAAGCGAAATCGCGATTATATATTGACGTGGTGGAGGTCAATCCATTGTTGGAAAAATCTTTGGTCAAGTTCGCTGATCATACTCGTTGGCCTTTTCCTTTAAATAGCTGTTACACGGTAAAATGAAAATTTTTCTATTTTTATAGCACTCATCTTTTAACCCTATTGAATATGTTTATTAACGATTGATCAAAACACGTCTACGTGATATATCTACATAGAAATTGAATAAAATCAGAGCTGCGATCCCTTTTACGTAACTTTCCCTTAGTTCGTGATTATTTCACTTTTTGTGTCTTTCGAAAAACAAAAATTACACTAAGCTTTCGGCTATTTGCCTCGTCTATTAGAACTCTTTGCAAAAGATATACAAATAACTAGTGAATAAAGCGAAAACGTATATTTGCAAAGTTTACGAACGCTTTTTTCGCGTTCGCTCGAAAAAATTTACATGACGTTTCTCTTTCGGCTTGTACATGCTTTTCTTCTACGTAGATCTGTACGATTACATAAGTGATTTCCGGGAAACGAGTTTTATCAGCCAATCTCAAACGAAACTACGAGGCAAAAGTCATTAATCCTAAAACCGGCGTGTCGTTGACCCCGACGCCGTCTAAAAAAATCAAACAAATCTCCTGCACAACGCGAATCCAAAAGCATCCTTCTTCTCGGCCTTTGACGCTGACCAATTGAGAAAAACGGTCGTTCTAACGGAAAATAACGACTGGGAGGGCTTGAATTTCCTTTTACGCCGCGGCGAGAGGGAGAGAAAAAAAATACCTCGCTAGACGCGTACAAATGTCGGAGCGCTTTTCTTCCTCTCTCGTGCTAGCCTCGCTCTATTTTTCTCCGTGCGTATTTCTCAGCTCGCAAGCCTTTGTTTTTGTTTTTCTTCAAATTTTTTGGTCGTTCGCTTTTCAAGCGACAGGCGGATCAATAAACATGCCTCGCCTGATGATATTTCGCATTAAAGAGCGCTTCCTCGACTGTGCCACTCCGTTTGCCGCGACGCACGCCAACAATTATACAAATCGCGCAAACTTGTCGAAATCGAAAAGTTCGCGTAATGTCTAAAAACACACTGTTCTCTCTCCCATGAGAAAGGTACGTAACCTCGAAACAAAGTCCCCCCCCCCCCTTTCCCGACCAAAACAAAAGCAAAAACAAAATCGCAATACATCCTCATCGACATAATCACCATCTATAACGCGGGGGGGGGGGGAGAAGAAGAAAAGCAAAATGTCCGCGAGATGAAGATAAACGCTCGATGGCGCGGCCGAGGATTAAGTCGCGCAAGTGGAAAGGGTCGCGCTGCGCTCGGCCGGTAGTGCAGGCGCGCGTTAAGCCGGCCCGTGGAGGCTCGCGCGCGCGCCTCCATTTAATAATGCTCGCGCCGCGAGATCGCGTCGATCGCGCTCGGCAGTGATATTAATGAGCGAAGCCCGGATCATCCCCGCGGAATACAGGGTCGTCGGCCTCTTTCTCCTCGCGCGCTGCTACGCCGGGATAATTGTTTCGAGATGCTCGAGATGATTGCCGCTGGAATACGCGCTGATGAGTTATTGTCGTCGGCCGTAGGATTCGCTTATGGGATCAGGAGTTTACGGGATTTTCGGCAAAAGAATAATATTCATTCGGCCCGCATTCAATGACGCACGATTGCCATCCGAGCCGATGCTTTGGCATTCGGTTGCGAAGAATATACTCCAATTAACGAGAGCGACTGCGCCGATTGCCGTTGTTGACAATTGAATTTCGGTTGCATGCGATTTGTTAACAAACTCCCTCATCGTCGCCTTGAGTTTGTGTATCACGAAACGCATTATAACAATCCGAACCACGATACCCCAAATTTCAACATTTGCAAACTTTTAATTCTTTTGTAAATCGAGCACCGATTGCTCGTTACTTTTTGCGTTACAGACCTGCCATCATCGGCGAAAATGTTAAAATATGCGAATGAAGAAAAATGAACAATTTTCACTATATTCTAAAATTTTACGAAATTTTTACATCTGCAAATTGAGCTTCACGCGTGTATAATATGAATTTTATTGCCGATTAAAATTTTATTGAAAGCAAACGGAGACGGAAGTGAAAAAAATGAGTTTGTCACATTTGCGCGACGATTACCCCTTTCCCATTTACGATGTCGAATGCAATCAACGAACAGATACTTCGTACACACCTCGACGAGATTTTAATTTCCAACCAAATAATCATTTCTCGCGCGAACTTTAGCCACAGGGGCCCGCAATACGGCACTCACGAGCCTGCACGGAACTCGGCATAATCGTGGTCTCTCTTGCACGTACACACACGCGCGCGCGCACACACACACACACACACACACACACACACACACACACACACACACACACACACACACACACACACACACACACACACACACACACATACTCGGGTTGTACTCGTTGGCTCGCGCGCAACCGGAGAGAGAAGCCCCACCCCTTCGCGAACTGCAGCGAGAAGCTCGCGCTGGGGTAAAATCAATGCGGAGAGGGCGTCGACAGCAGCGGCAGCGGCGTATATACACGCTCCACCCCCTCCACTCCGCTCCTTTTTGCGGATAAAAGCAATAACAAACGGGTCGCTGGTCGCCTGCCTTTTTCTCGGCGTTCGCGCTTCGTGGACGAGCGCATCTGTGCGCCGGCGATGGTCTCGGTGAGATTCGACCCCCTTCCCGAAAATCGAACGACGCCGAGCGTTCCCGATCGAGGGAAACGGAGGAGCGAGAGCCAGAGGAAACTTACGGGATCCGGGAGGAGGGCGGGGACGCGGTGGCGGAAGAACGCGACTGCAGGTGTGCGTTTGACCCAGTTCTCGGGCGCGAGTTCGCGCGCGCGCGCGCGCCGGGCGCTCGTAAAAAGCAATAGCTCGCGCGGCGCCCGCCGGAGATACGCACACCCCGAGAGCGTCAATCCCTTCTCCCCACGGTCCTCGCGCCCCTCGCTCGCCGCGCGCGGAATTATAGACTCTTCATTCATGCGGCTTGTGTTTACTCGCGCGCGCGCTTTAATGAAACAAACGGATGTTTGCTCGTCCCCTCGTTACTCCCTTCTTCCTCTTTTATGTTCGTTTCGCTTCCGTTTTGCGCTTTGTCTTTGTATTTTTATTTTCGCTCTCGTGCATGTAGGTCGGCGCCGCTGGAGCTGATCCCCGGCCGATCGCTACGTCGCTAATCCCGTTAACGCCAATCGAATCAGCCACCCCGCCCGGGAGGTCCGGGCTTGTTTTGGACTTGGACTGTTCGACCTCGGCTCATAATGACGCGCGCCCGTCGAGCGTAGTTCGCGCGTCGGCCGAACGGTCCCGTCGATGCTCGGATGTCCGACGCGAGCGCAAGAGGAGGACGACCCGTCGCCTCGCCGAGATTCGCGCTTTCACGGGTGCGTTCGACCCGATCGAGACCTCGAGATAGCGTGTGAGCCGCCGGCTCGACGCCAATTTCGAGTAG